CCCCCCCCCCCCCCCCCCCCCCCCCCCCCCCCCCCCCCCCACCTTGTAAAAGGTGTCCAAGCGCGCATGCCAAAGTTGTAAACCCTCCCACCTCTTTGATGTATATGGTCACCTTCTAGTGGAGAGATTCCCAGCCGAAATATTCGTTGTTTCGGCGGCAGCAGCAGCAGCAGGAGGAGGAGGAGGAGGAGGAGCAGCTGTTTCAAATGGAAATAGCAGAATTTCTCACACGCACAAACCCACAATTTTATATTCCTTCCTTATGTGCTTTGTTTGTATTTGTGTGTATGTGCGTGTGACTGTATGTATGTGTGTGTGTGTGTTTGTGGTGGTTGTCCCAGTGGTTATGATTCTCTTTCTTAACAAAACAAAATTTTCAAAGCAACCAACTACCAAATTCCAAAATGTTCTAGCGTTTATTTCCAAAGATGCATATATAGATTTTTTTCAGTTTATTCATTTTTGCTTTATTAAGTCGAATTATTCAAAATAACATGACTCTTAAAATTAAATGAATTAAAGAGGTAAATGAATAAGTGAATTGTTGACTCATCGTGATTACTTAAGTGGCGGGAATGGTATAAATATGGCGGGACAGAGTATTGTGCATTTAAAATGTTCGGATCCGATTCATGCCACTTTGAATGGCACATTTAGGTGCAATTTTTAAAGCACTAATATTATTATTATTATTATTATTAAGTAAATTTGCTCCGCCTTTCCTTACAGCTCTGGTGATGCGAGTGAGTCAGACGTTTTGGTGGTTCGGGAAATTTGACCGCTTTCAGCCCTTCTTTCGATTCAGCGTGAAACGAACTTTAACATCAGACATTATGGAGTACAATGATAAGATAATCCTCACAAACACCTGGCCAAGCACGTGTGTGTGTCCAGACAAGCTGGTGGTCCGCAAGAGATACCTCCTTCTGACTCACTCTAATGTCTCCCGACAAACCCTTCGAATAACCACTGAAAGTGTCTTCCTGGAAAAACCCAAAAAATACACTAAGCTAATTCTGGTAAATTTACAAATAAGTCATCAAGATTCCTATCATGCTCTCCTTAAGAGATTACTTCTAAATGTTTCCGAGTGAGATATGAATAGGAATTAAGTCACTTAACACGCTTTCTAAAAGCATATATATATATATATAATATATTTATACCAAATGGTAAGCGTTTTGATGGTTATCATTAGCCCTTTAGTTGACTTCGGGCTTTACAGAGGGTAGGAGGAATATCAAAATGAGAAGAATTCGAGAGGGGGAGCAGAAGAGAGATTCAAAGATGTAAAAGAGACAGACACAAAAGGAAAAAGGTGAGATGAGTACTGTGAAATATTCGAATATGGCATCAGAGAAAAAGGTGAGGTGAATGCTGTGGAAGTAGTCGAATATGGCATACAGTAGGGTGATGGTGGTTTGAAGTTAGAAGTCAACTACCGGTTAATTGACTTTTTTTGTCGTATGAGTTTACGTTGCCCAGGGTGCACCACGTGGAGGTAAGTCTATCACGCACCCCATCTATATATATCTTATATATCTTTTTCGATAGGCTTAATACTAACAACACCGCAATATTTAAGCATTTATTAACGATACTACAAAGGCGATATTTTTTTCTCATGACATGCGTTTTATACTTTGCATTTGCATATGCATATATATCCAATCGTCAGTAATATGACGCAGTCCCAATTAATTTAATTAAATCTTCATAATTTTTCTGGCGTTGTTTAGCAATTCTAACATTTTTAAGAAACTTCAAAATTGCCAAAACCAATGGGTTTTCAAATAAAAGGAGGCTTGAGATATATAGGTCAAATCGAGAATTAGGCCAGTGGGCCATGTATTTGTCCGACATGTTACTAAGTCACCTAACTGCTCCGATTAACACTGGTTGGGTGAAAGTGGATTCCCAACAGAAAGTCTTCCAGGTATCGAAAATGCCTAATATTGGTAACCATTCTGCTCTCGAAGGTATCAAACATATCTTTATGATATTAAAATGCGCGATCCTCCCCCCTACCTCTACTTTAAGTGGAATTTGCACAATATTTGGCGTGAACGTAATTTTGGAAACATAGTTTGCCTTAACGAATGCCTTGGCAATTGACCACACAATACATTCACATAAAGTTCTAATGAAATCAATGTCAGATTTTCTTTACAGAGAACTTCGCAGTGTGGTCCCATTCAGTTTTGTAATATAAGCCAAGGAAGACCCATAATTATCCTCCTACTTGAAGAGGGGTCCCGATGCTTTTACTCCTAGAGGCGATGGTAATTTTTCTCACGTTCGTTTCCAGCGCCTGTTGGTATTGTGCACTGCTATCGATATGGAAAGTTCAAATATCTAGTACAGTACATAAATTCTACAGTTTTGACTGTTGGTTCCGATTAGTTCAGAAAATTAAAAAAAACAAGGCAATTCTTACGGACTTTCGAGTGTGGTGTGTTTGAAAGTACTTCATTCTTACCTAAGACAGACATGCGTTATTTCATGGATGATAGAAACGCAATTCAAATCTGTCGTCCATTGTTCACAAATAGTTTAACTAATTTGTATTCATTGAATTAGGAAACCCGATTGAGATAATTAAAACATTGTATTACCCAGACTTTAGAAACCTGTCTATTGCTGTTTAATCAACTTCGATAGTCCAGATTACCTGAATCCGTGACCAAAGACACTTTAATGTTTCTTTCTTATCTCCTCAAGTGTTAAATAGTCATAGGGTTTATCTTGTCGCGGTTTCATTTACAGAATTTAAAATTATAATTTTCAAAAAATGCTCTCATTTATAAGATTTCCATATCCGCGAATTCGGGAGGAATTTTAAATTGAGTTTTGCATTCTGTCATCTCATTTAGGATTAACGCAGGGTACTTGTCATTGCTCTGAAACTTCAATCAAGTGCGTGCTTCATGAATTCCAGAGGCAAAGTAATCAAGGATTCGATTTTGAATTTTTTCAAGTCCTCTCCAGGTTGCCAGTTTCTTCTCTCTGGTCGCTGAAGTTGTCGTAGAAGTTTCAATTTCATATTAAAATTGGGGGGGGGGGTTGGAGTTCATTTTAGATGAGCAAGAAGACGATAGTTGCATACCTTTTTTCCCCCCGCCCCCCTCATCATCAGATGCGCCAAAGAGGATTTCGAAAATTTTTCAAAACTTTAAATGCCCTTATTATTATTATTATTTAATTATTTATTTATTTTACTGTCCTTATTTTATTACTCTTGAAGTGCTGGATGAACAAATGTCCCCGAAAAAGTCAGAAAAGTCGAAAACAATCACAAAATAGGTGGAATTGGCGATGGGAGACCAGTCGTCTACAATAGGAAAATTTGAAGAAGACCCTGATGCATTAACTTATCTTCTCTAAATCCTCATTTTTATCCCAATGAACTCACTTTGTTGATAATAAATATCCAGAATGAATATATATATATATATATATATATATATATATATATATATATATATATGCATATATTCAAATTTACTTTTTTTAAGTAAAAATAAAGAATTCAATATATCATAGGAGGTCTGCCATTCCTAATTACCACAAATACAACAAATTTTGTCAAGACGGTGATTAGGTTTCAATAAATATTTTGTGTATATAGAATGATAATTAAATAAAATTTAACATTATAATAAGATTTTCATTAAGACAGCATCACTTCTAGAATAAATTAGAAACATCAATTTGATTTTTTTTTGAAAGAGCTTTTTTGCAAAATAGCCTTCTCGCATCCTAAAACGGTAAGGTAATAAAGTACTGAAGATCAAATAAGGAAATGGACTTGACTAAATCAATGAATATCTTAGTCAAATTATTACCAAGGGCAAATGGATGGAATCTGTTCACTGACGAGCAGAATTCAGGTGGGTTATTGAGGAAGTCTTTTCAAATTGACGAGTAATTGAAAATGTGCTTATCGTCTGGAGTCATTACTGGAAGCTAAGTGTCTAACAACTTTTATCTCGGGAAGCGGGGAAGGTGGGCAGAACTGCTTGATAGTCCAAACAAGTAACAGGCGTATTCTGACATCTAAACAGGAGTCGATTTCAAGGTTTTTTTCCTTGGTATGACTTCAATGATATGGAAGGATTGAAAATAAGGTTCTCTTAAACCTCTTCAAATGTTTAAGGTTTTAAATGTTATTGGGTTTTGGTAGTGCTTTGAAGATCGATTGTTCGAACCCCTAAGTTGGTGAAGAAAAAGTGAGAACATGCCACTTTCGGGTCTACGCCAATATAGTCACACATTAATTAGTCCCACTAGTCTAATAATAGTTAATGAAACCGGGGCCGGTGGATTTTCAGTGTGGATAAGAATGCAAAGAAGTGCGAATTTCAAATCAACAAATGCCCTACCGCATCAACCATTTTTAAATCGAAATTGAGCTTAACTCATTTTTTAAATGAACAACACATCATTTAATTATTATGTTCTTTGAAGTAGTAATATATTACCACCGAAAGTTATAGCGCTCCAAGATAATTTGCAACATCTTTGAGAATTTACTTAGCCAATTAAAATTGCGAAATGTAGGAAATGAGACATCCAAAACCCTTAGAACACAGCACAACTTAGACTCTCTATTTCAAATTAGACATTATCGTCCACTACCACAACTTCAAAAAGGTATTTCCAAATACAAAGAGGAAAAGAGTAGAAAAGCGTAAGGAAAGGAAGTGTCAAAGTTTAAAGGTGTCAAAAATAGGAAAGGATAAAGGAAATAGCTTATTTGATGACAGCTTTGCGGATTTGCCAATTTTGAGACAATCGCCGCGAAGTTCCTTCGAATTTCAACCAGATGGGGGATGTTTCGATGTCCTATTTCACTTCTTGAAGACGTTTGCACTGATCCAATACAAAGAAGAAGGTTGATGCCTATGAAAAATACATAACCAATATTCATACATAATTCAGATTTCAAATTCATAAATATATACGTTTATGCGACCTCAGCGGTCAGTAGGGGAAGGGGGGTGTTATTTCCAATTAGCTTCAAGAAACCTACCAATATTCAAGTAATAAGGTGTTCAATCATTAGATAATATCATCTTTTGGAAAAAGGCTAATTTACTCAGTTGATACACCATGCCACTTCTAATTATATTCGTCAATACAAATTAAAGCTCTAAGTGATAGTGGCCTCACTACTTTTGGGATAACAAGCAAACACTTTCATAGGAACGCAAGATTAGGTAATAAACAAAGCGATTTGCTGTTATAGAAGAAAATGTAAACTGAGTTAGAATGGAATTAATTGCCAGGGCGTTTACCGACATTGGCACAAAGTGAGATGGAGGTGAGGAAGGGGAGGTGAGGGGGGAGGTAGCCTGGGAGCGAGATAAACTCAGCCACAGTCCCGTGCTGCCTTTGATGCACTCTTTTATGCTTCTTGGTCTCACTGTCTACTTGGCACACGCCTTAAGAGTTGTATCAAGTTTCGTTATACTTTGACGCACTTATAGGGAATTCTACAATCAATGCTTACTTTAACCATTCTTCCCATAAAAACCGACTGGTAAAGCACAGATTCGGCACTCACTAGCCTTGATCAGCTGTCCGTTTGTACGTACTACGTTAGTAGTATATAAGAATAATATACAACCCTAGTCCCTGCATAGAATAATATAGTCCTCCACCATAACTACTGATTTCGATGAATTTTTGAGTGAAGGTAGATATTTGAGAGCTTCTTCCAACTAATTATGAAACTCGCAAGACGATAATATTGCACGCTTCTTAACTTCTAATCAGTCATCTATGAGCTGTCAGCCACCTATTGAGTGCTACACCCACGCAGTTCATTTGTCATCAATCGCAAAAGTACTCTCTTGAGAGGGAGGGAGTGGGGGAGGGAGATAGAGAGAGAGATCAAAACAATGACTAATTTCAATTCAGAATTAGAGAATAATACCTGATCAAAGATGAGAGTGATATTTTGAGTGCCGAAAGTCAGAGTCACTTCACCACCGTACTCCTCACCCTCCTCGCGTGAAAGTATTTTCTAAAATAAATCAAGATTAAAATTAAATTCCAAAAAAATCCAAAATTTTAAAGAAATTTGTACTTTTTTCTGTTAACTTATATGCGGGACTTGAATCTTGACGAATATGGAACCTTAATTAGACATTTTCAGTAAAAATTGGCTTCCAGGATATTGAAAGAACAAAAAATATGAAAATTCATGTTGAGCAAAATGAAATAGCCTCTGAATAGGAATGCTGGCAACCAATGCTCTATCGAAGATTAACAACTTGCTCATTACTGTCTAATGAACTCACCACTAAACCACTGCCTTTTAACAAATCCACCAGTATAAGCCAACTCTATTCCACACACGACTTTTGCTTTCCGGTTTCCACAAACGGTGACTCGCCTTTCTTCCCTCCAACTCCAACCTCCGACACACTGCTCACCCCTTTTACATATAACTTTCTCTCATCATTTAGCAAAATATTTTGCAACTGATCCCATCTTACAAAGCTTTAATAACCGAATTTAGCTTACCCTGACACGTTTAAGATCAGCAATTGAGTAATTCATGAGAATGACACGTCTAACGGGATGAAGGAAGCAGATTGAGCTCCTACAGATGGCTACCAGAATGGGCAGCATTGGTTTTGTTACATCTCTATTGTCATAATACTTTTGGAACTTAATCGGGGTTTGATCCTCTGGAAGACTCTTCAGGAAACCATGGAAACAGGTGGCGCCGTATAGCGGCCAGTGAGAGATTGCAGCTGTAAAAGGTAAAGATAAAAGGTAATTTATAGGAAGAGAGTAACTAGATTTAGTGAAGATTTCTTCTACTAATTCCACAGTGTCTCAATTAGGAGTAGATAAAAGCTTACAAATTATCGATTCATTAAAGCTTACTGATGAGACTCTTGCGAGATTCTGAAGGGCTCATCTCCGGACATCTGGACACAGCTTCCAGAAGATTTCGTGTCCAATCCCGTTTACGAATCCCTACCCCTCTTGGCATTAGATCAACCGCTTCCTCACTTATGAGAAATCAAAATAAAATTTAACTCATCTTAAATAAATGAAACTAAGCATGAATTGAGCATAAGTGGATTGTGATTATCGTCTTGAATCATGGACATTGTAATATAAATTAAACATACGCGGATAGATTTGAACCATTCGAGAAAATGAAAGACAAGTAGACTGCCATTTGAATAAGTTCACGCTAAAATCAAAATGAAGTCGTTTTAGTAACAATGGCGATTCAAAAAAAATGTCCAATGTGGAAAAATTAGTACATATTGCTTTTCTTCCAATTGGCCATCATCTGTAGATATCCAATATCCAGAAAGGAATTGCTCAACAACCTAGAATGGCAACAGTTTACGTGAAAATAGTACCTTTGCTCCATGCAATTAAAAGTTCTACAACTCGGAAACTAACCTGATCGAAAAGGACCTTGATGTACTCTGGTGACCTCTTCTCAAGGTCAGGCTGAGTCCACCAGCATACTCTTCGGTAGAAGAGAGCTGAGTTTTCATTTCCTTCATCGTATGGACAAGAGTCGAAGTAGTAAGTCTTCAACTCAATCGGAATTAAGCTTATGTTAGCTATACCTATAAGAGATAAAGCACGCATATTACAGTGCATACTCATTAAACTCCTAATATGACACAAAGTGAACCAAGGCGTTCTCTCTTACCATCAAGAGGTTTTGATGGGAGGCGGAAGAGAGCAAATTCGAGTCTCTCCTTTGCTGAGGTAATATTCAACTGTTCGGCTAGCATGAAGGAGACCTCACCGATCAAGGACATTGGGGAGACATTCACGGTGATGGCACAACGAGCTGGCAGATTTATTCGGTGCTTGCAAGTCATATCGTCGTTCTAGAGAATTGAAGTATTTCTTCAATACATGTCTCAAGTACCTGTGTGCAGCTATGATATTTTTTTCTCCTTTATTATACTTAAGAGATGAGGAAAAAATGCTTCATTGAGCCTTTCTGTTACTAAGACTACTCACTGTATCTACGACTACATAACCTCGATCCCATGGTGACATGATGAAAAGATTAGTCCAATATTGGAGAACACTTTCGACTCTAACATTTCTTCCACACGTTTCTGGAGAGATATTTACAAATCTCGTAATACATAAGGTGAATGGTGATCCGAATGGTAAAGCACAGCAAGACAAATGAAGGGAATTTAAAGCTCCCCTTCATAAATAAAACAAATTTTAAGATCTAGCTCCAACTTAAAATCACCGGTTTAATCATCACTTGGTCTATAAAGGTGACAACTGGAAATTTGTTTATTTGTGGACAACGTAAATAGGGTAAGTCGGATATATGTGATTAATTACAACAATTAAATTGCATATCAATTTTTGTTGACACTCACCAAATAAGCGTCAATTTCGACATCTGGTGGTAGAATCTGACGTGGTCCGAATTTCTCCACCTTGTCCAGATTGCCCACCACTGTTGCTGCAAGAGCTAAAACAAACAAAATAATTGAAGTAGAAAGTTTATCATGCATTAATCATATCTGGTGATATGATTAATCAATAGCTATTAACAAATCTGTCTGGAAAGAAATCTGTCGGGTTATAAATCAAAACCTAAGTGGAGGAAGATTAAAATTAAAAACTATTTGATTTCAAGAACTGATTAACAAGTTATCGCATTTTATTATTCGGCGCGATAGATTAAGTCACATATAAATAGAAGGAAATTGTAAAAGAGGGATATATATATATATATACATAAGTATATAAATCGGGGTGTGCGATAGACTTACCTCCTGGGCAACATATACTCATACGACAAAAAAGTCAATTAACCGGTAGTTGACTTCTGACTTCAAATTACCATGACCCCACTGTGCGTCATATTCGACTACTTCCACAGTACTCACCTCACATTTTTTCTACCTTTGTGCCTGTCTCTTTTACACCTTTGAAACACTCTTCTGTTCCCCCCTCTCGATCTTTTTCACTTTGTTGTTCCTTCCCCACTATGAAGCCTGAAGTCAACTAAGTAGCTAATGATAACTATCAAAACGCCTCCCGTTTGTTATAAATAAATATTATATAAATCAAGGGCAAATAATAAACAAATAAATCATCAAATTTAAAAATTAGTTATAGCATACACATGATAATTAGATGACACTTTTCAAATAATTTTTAAAGTTTTATTAAGCCTTTCACTAACTCTGAACTTTGTGACCGTTGAGAGTGCAACTCTTTGCATGTTCAACAAGCCTGTGTCGAAGGTTAGGGGTGCAAGTCAGGAACATGGAGCAAATTGTATATATTGTCCATACCATCGACACTGAATTTCTGAATAGATAAAATAACAAAAACAAAGAAAAATAGTTTGCAATGAACAGTGCTTGAAAACATGAAGACAGTCACTCTGGTTGACTTACGGATTTTCACTTTCATTTCTATTTGTCTGTTTCAATATTTGGCAGAAAACTTCGTCTTGGAGAACTGGATGACGTTTCGCCAACTGAATAATGGGAGAACAGGCAATGGCATATTAGACCACCCAAATCAATTATTTCAGTTTAAAATAAAATTTACCTTGAGAATTCTCTGTACCAAAGCCACTGGGGTCTTGGATTGCGGGCGTTCTTGGCAGAGCTCGAGAATGGCTTGAGCAGATAAAAGAGATGTGAGAAATTTCAACATATTAATAAGGTTAGATTAACTAGCTAAGTGAAGTTTTCCAATACTTGATTGATAGTTATTATATGAACAGCAAACCTTTACTTTACATCTAAATAGTAAGAGATTAGTCAGGCACAATAACTAGTTACCACTAGTACCATCTACTTAACACATACCTTTGAAGATGGTAGTGAGCCCAACCAAATTTGAGGACTCTTAGGTCTGTTCAAGGAAGCGAATTCAAAAGTTCTTCAGTGGATAGATGGCATAATGAAGCTTATCTACTGAGAAGCACAAATTCCACCATAAGTGATATTATTTGCCACTAATCAGTACGGTTGGCCACTCCGCTCACCGAATTAGAATCCACTTTGAAAAACAGCATTCACTGGCATTACTAACGCTAAAACCAACCCCCATTCGAACTTAAGCATTCCGTGAAAGCAGAAGGGCAATTCCGTTTATGATTTCTACAATTGCTTTCCAACCAAGTGGCAATTAACAACCCTTTCCTAACGTCTGAATGCTTGCTTAATCTGAGTGGACACCTGCCTGGCAAAAGTCCGTCTGTGGGTTATTGATTATCAATTTTAACTCGCCTTCCAAGCGATAACTCACGATTTTGACGACATACTAATAAGCGCATTAATTTAAAAGCGACGGTGCAGATGATAGACTCCAGTGTTCTTTTTCCTTCAGACTACGCTTTCTCTATCTCCTGATCTCCTGACTCTATCCACAATTTTATGCCAAGAAGAACCAAATCACAAGGAGGCACAGCAGGTTTCTTTTCTGTATAGAAAGCCCATGCATCTCTAAGAATCTTTCCTCATGCAAGCAGTTTTAGCCATTTTCCCGAGACAAAACTGACCAAATGGCATAAATTACAAACAGAAAATAGTTTGCCTATTCCATTCAATTTAATGTTAAAACTTGCTCTATGTGAGCACAAGTAATAGCGACTCACCTTCAAAAATTCTTGAAGCAGCTTCGACCGCATTTGGATCACTTAACTTGATCAAAGATCCGTACTTCAAAGGAGTTGGTTGCCAGGAGAGTTGTTTTCCAATATTTGCTCTAGAAACAAAAGAAAATCAGTCGCACTGATCATTGGCATTTTAAAAATTGACTTTTACTACCAATTAAAAGGAACGCACTTGTCTTTGAAGTGTTCCCTAGCAAACGGAATTAGTATTTCAAGCGCGTTACCGTAATTGGAACGCACGGAAGCGATCGATGCGGAATCCGACATATAATCCACATAATTCTTATCACGTGGATCACGGTGACCTATAAGGGCAATATGAAATAAAACCAATCATTATTTTCTTCATATACTACCGTTTAATATTTCTGAAATTGGAATCCTTACTCGATGTGTCAGAACTCTTCTTTTTCATCTGTAAAATGCGAAATTAAACTACTTGATTTCGAATAGCAAACAATCACAGGGTAGGTAAGTGTAAAAGAAAACTAACGTTGTATTCATCCTTGAAAATATTGATCAACCGACAAAGATCGTCTGCCTATGATTAGAACATGAGAAAACGTTTTAAATATCCACTTACAAGTATGATCACTCAATTACAATCTATCGCTTACGTAGGTAGTGTACATGTCAATAACTTGGCCTCTAAAATCTCTTATAACAACGTAGTTTGGCTCATCAGTGATTCGGATCCCTTTGGTGTTAACCAAGTACTTCTTTCCGGCAAGTTGTCGCTGGATCATTGAACGCGCCTTAAAAGAAGCCTTGCAACTTTCGATATTACCTAATGGAATCTCCGCATAAGGCTCCAGATGGCGTTCATTCTTCTTCTGAGCTACTAAACGTATGGCTTTAAGTCCCACTACACACCAGTGATAGAGACGCGAGTTCTCAGATCCATTAGTGGGCTATAGAATTTAAAAATGGTTACTTAATTGAAATCAGTAGAAGTGTGTGTGTGAGTGTGCTTATAACAAACTACTAACCTCGATAGCGTAGAATCTACCGAAATAGTAAGGGCATTGTTTGGCAGCATCAATGACCATTCTTTTGACAGCGGTAGGCTGCAAAATGAGCTGATTGAGGGAGTTGTTTAGAAGAATATCCCCTAAAGTATGATTAAATGAATGAGGGTATAAACTCTGTTGAATAAGCATTTGAAAGTAAATTGAGTTTAGAAAATCTACCGATGGTATTTCTCAGACCCCGTATGTCATTTGGTGTCAGGCGTGGCGTCGCATCTTCCAAGACGTCACCAATTATTTGACAAAATACCAGATCCAGTAGACGCTTCGGTTTTAATTTCTCTTGCGGTGTGATAAGCTAGAGAGCGAAGAAATTTGTTAACAAATGCTCACCATAGAACTATACCTCATCGATGAGGGTGTTTGTTACATATTCCCACCTACATACTCTGCTTCAAATGGGCTTTGCTTTTCTTTCTTGTGAGTATACGTGCTACTAACATCAATATAATAACATTTTCATCACCATCTTATAAATGGCAAAACTTACTAGAATGACCTTCTATTAAGGATTGACTCAGCTAATTAATAAATTAATTAAATTGTGCACTGAGTTCTTCTTGGAGCACGGGTGTGAGCATTGATTCCTGTCTTATTGGTATGCAAGTGGGTATTCATATAATATCATTTGGGTGAATAGCCTATTATCACTAGATCAAACGTCACCTATTCATCCTATAATGCATAAGTGAATGCCAATTGCTAAATATTTGGCTTCAATAACTATTTTCATGTGACACCTTGTCACACACCCTCCAATTATTTAAGCACTTTTTACCTGTCTTTGAACTGCTGTATATTAAGTGCCAATTTTGAGTTCTCCTTATGATATACTCCTCTTTTCTCAGTTAACTGCCCCCACCAAACAGAACTCTCTGACCTACAGGTTAAAATTTCTTAAATTCCTCTTTACTCAAGCAATTTCTTTGCATACGAACTTGGTATTGGTGAAATTTGGCATTTTGCCATAATTCTCATTTAACAGGAAATAATATAACAAAGTGGAACTTGCCTCCTTCCTAACGCGCAGTGACCACCGAGCATGTTTGTATGTGAGATATCTCATTTCATGAGGTGGGTAACCACTGAGGGAACTGCCCGTATTGGGGAGACCAATCGGAGGTCCCGGTGGGGCGGCAGCGTCGTTTTGCATGGCGATATCCTCACCACTGTCCATCGGCACTACACTGGCGGCTCGAGGGAGTTTGGCCGCACTTGGACCCCCACTTCCTCCTGGAGCCTTAATGCTTCGCACTCGCCGAATGCTCATTCGGGGCTTTGGAGGATCGTAGCGTTTGGCGGCCATTTTCCGTACCGCCTGAAGCCAAGCTGCCTCGCGAGCCATGGCCGAATTATTATTTTGTGTCTGTTGAATTTGTGGCTGAACAAAGTGGAAAGGAATACAAGCATGAAAGATGATTAAACTCTCTTTTATATGGCCTTCAATTATTTTGTCAGGGAGATTGTCACTGAAAACTGCATTGTTATGACCTCATAAAGCCAACAATCGTTCCAATCAAGCAGGAAGCGTGTCTCGTACTAGATTAATGCATTATCGATTCATTATAATGAATTTCCCCCCCCCCCTCCTCTCTCCTAAAAGTTTAACGTTCGGAGAGAGCTGTCAAGATGATCACATGACCTTCATCCCCTCCCCCTCCTCCTTATTCATACGTCGGTTAGTAGTGAGGTATTTAAGGCGATAGGCTAAACAAATGCGTCATGGGCATTCGTGATACAAATGGTATGGGGTGGGATTTATATACACTATACTGTTAATGGCTTTAAAATTAGGCAAATGTAAGTCCATTGAGCAGTCCCTTGGACTGTGCAAAGTAAGCAAAACACCTAAAGCTTCAATTATTTGTTGTCATTGGAGCTTAAAACTCAAGCAGAAGGAGATCGGTGATCTTACAAATGTGAGTTGGACCATCAGTCAATTTTCAAAATGATGTAATTTGAGATGTAAGCTTTTGGCTGATTTAAAGCATATTAGAACTATAAGGTGGAAATCCATTGATGCCAACTTAGTTGCGCACCCAAAATTAAATTTTTAAATTTACCGATCATATCACTTAAACTTTCTGTTTTCAAGAACTGAACCTACCTATTAATTTTCACACACCTTTGACTGATGTAACACCAGGATTTAGGCTAATCACAACTGATCGTTGTCGATTAAACTCTCTGTGACGTGAAAATTGTACCACTAATTAAATGAGCTCTCTGGTTAAGAAACACCTAAGTAATGGATCTATAAAATACCCGGTATTCGTGAAAATGCAGTAAAAGTTCTGATAGATTCCTATTGAATCAAGTTCCAAGAGTTGTTCACGTATAGGTTAGGAATAGCTTTACAATTTATCACCAATCATGAATATGCAGCTTGATAAGTTGATGTATGATATTTGTTACAAATCTATGAGATGATAATTATAAATAAGAGAGCGCAATTGGCATATCTTCACATGGTGCACCCTGGGCAACGTATACTCATACAGCAAAAATGTCTATTAACCGGCATTTGACTTCAAACTACCATGACCCCACTATATGCCATATTCGAATACTTTCACAGTACTCACCTTACCCCTTTCTCTACCTTTGTGTCTGCCTCTTTTACATTTGTGAATCGCTCTTCTGTTTCCCCTCTCCACTTTTTCCGACTTTGATGTTCTTCCATCTATAAAGCAGATGTCAATTGAAGGGCTTATGGGAACTGTCACATATCCTAAAATGTGATATTAATACAAATTGCTAAATAAATTTGCGATAGTCATTCTGTTCATGTTTAACTTTCGTTAGGTTTCACATTCATAATGTTGTAGACCATTCAAGGCGTTTGAGTTTCGCATTTAATGTTGACGATTAGTAATTATGAGTGTAATCATTTCTTCATGAGAAATTTGTTCCTCTAAGCTTTCATGCAGCAAACAGATCTGCAACTGACTGAATTGATCCGATTCACTTAAGATATACAGACCTATTGATTGAAGGCAAAACCATTTTTAGTACGTTCCCTAAATTACCTATAATTATATCCGTGTTGATTTGCCTATGTGTCTACGTGGTGAACTACCTCCTAATCACTACTCACCAACAATATCTAGCTTCAATTAATAAGCCTCTGCCCTTGTTTGCTCACGGTGGATGGTTTTTGGACCACTTAGGGGGATGGTTAGTGAGAATTATCAAAAAAACTTGAACTTACAGCATTATCATTAATACCGTGGATCGAAGAGGCAAGAGATCCACTCATTTTACGCGACCAAGAGCTCTCTCTACCGGAATTTCGAATTGGAGGTCTACAAAATCCAAAAAAACACTCAATTAAAAATCACCAATGCATTCACCGCGAAGAAGATGGTGTGATAAATTTCACAGTCATTCCTTTTGATTAAGCAGAAATCATCAAAGCGGGATGGTTTTAAGCTTGTTAGTCTCTCACCTTGCTTTCATTTCATCACCTGC